GGTGGCTTCAAGAGGTAATTATTTAGCTCGGGGGAGGGGAGAGTCAGATGTGACTGCTGTCACATTTTAATTGGGCCCGGTACTTTAAAGGGGCTCAAATTCCTCAGATAAAAAGTTTCTTTTTTTCTTCAGGAATAAATAAGCGGATTATGCAGTGAGGGAATTCCAGGATTACATTAATGCTTCAAAAGAGGCTCAGGGAAAGATGATATTGTCTCTTAGATTAATTATACCAGACACCTAAAAGGGCAAAGCCATGCACTGCTGAGCCCTGCTTTTGGAACAAGATCGAATGCAGGCCTGCAAATCTGAGTGACCGTGTCCTGGGAGACATTTTGGTCATAGGACGTGATGATGGTCTGGACTAATTATTAGAGACTAGATGGGACTCTAGTAATGAAACTGCCTATATTAAAATAATATAAGGCCACGAGGCAGGAATAGTGATGAAAGTTTGACTTCTACAGAACAGTAGATATAGCTGGAAGTTAACCAGTCATTGTTCCTTAATTTCCCCACTGCTGTAACTGCTTACTGCTGAAGTGTCACGTATCCTTGACAAGGACAAGATTTGTGACTTCCCCAATTGCTTCCATAGATAACATCGATATCGTTAAACCTAAGACTGATCTTTGAGATATTGTTAAGGTTTGTGGGAAATAACCTGCTCTCTCACTTCTGTCAGTCTGCTTAAACAAAAAATAAAGGGGGAAAAGGGGGAGGAGGGTACACTTCACACAACTACAAACATTAACGAGATAAAGTAACAACTAGCCCAGAGGGCCGGAATGTCTTGGAGTATTGAAATGTCTAGGGGTGCCTCATGAACCCAAGTAACAGGGAGTAAAATGTACTCTGACTTAAAACAAAATGTTAAATATATTTTTGACTAAAATTAATAATAATTAATGCTGATCTAGACTTCTGTAACCCTACTTACACAGATAAATGACTTTACAGAATGTGGTTTTTGCCTTTAAAAGAGCCTGCCTCCCCTGGCTCGGGGCTACTCTCTGCACTACTGCCTCTCAGCGGTGCAGAGGGTAGTCACTGGCCAGCTAATAAAGACAATTTGACTCAATTCGGTCTCTTGGTGGTCACTTCTCACACTCCATACCATAACAATATCTTCCAAACTCTGCATTTGTCTGGTTTCAGGGTCAGAAATGTTGGTTCCTGGCACACTCATGGCTGAAGAATGACCTGACACCCCAAAGTAAGGCAAGCACAAAAATGAGGTTTATTGAAGAAAGATAGGATTGTAGAGCAAGAGCAAGATACAGGTTTACAGAGTGAGATACATACGCCACAGATGACATCCAGACCCCTTGTCCACAGCAAAGGGAGAACAAAAGGAAGGGACTGATTATGGACTGTGTTTTATTTTATAGTGCCAGGATTGGGCCCTCCCTGTGGCTCAGACATCACCATGGAACCACTTTGATTGGACAGTTGGGAGTTGCATAACCTGAGTCTTACTATGAATGTGGGTTGTTCTAGGTCACTTTCCGAACTCTATTATACCTATGCTGCTTGGCCCATGGGCTAGAGAGTCCTCTGCATTCTTTTGCAGTTGCCATGCTAAGTTCTAATCGACAGATTCCTAGGATGTGCCCTCCTACCCCAGGTATGGCAGTCACTTTGGACAGGATTAAGGTGGGGCAGGACCAAGACGGGGGCCTGGGGCCCACCCTCATCCTTCTTCCCAGGTAGGGCAATTACACCAAGGCAAGGCACCCACTTTTGTCCCTAGGAAACCCGGAATCCCTCACTATTTACCTTACACATTCAGGGGGACCAACTGACATCAACCTGACCAGTGGCCATGCATGGGGACCAATCCAACAAGTCCTACAACCCCCTACCCAGAACTCCTGTTTACCAAGAAGACAATTACTGCTTCCAAACCCTATGAGTTCATCCCCAGCCAATCAACATACCCAATTCTCTAGCCCGTTGTTCACCAAACCACCTTTAAAAATCTTAGCCCCCAAATTCTCACAGAGATGAGTTTGATAAATTTACTCCCATCTGCTCTCCTGGCACCTCGAGATATTAAACTTCTTCTCCACTGCAACTCTTGCTTTCTCAGAATATTGGCCTTTACCTGGGCAGTGGGCAAGTGACTTGGGCAGGTGGTAACAGTACAGTACCAACATCTTTTAACTTATTTTTTTAATCTTTTAACTCTTATTTCTCAGGTTACATCTACTGCAATGTGATATGCTGTAACACTGATATTGTTGGTAAGATTTTAATATTGATATTGATCATCAAATATGTTGGTGTTAAATGAAAAACTTAAGACAAATTAAACAGAGTTAAATTGAGCAAAAAACAATTTGTGAATTGGGCAAACCTTCCCCTCCCCGAGCCAGAATAGGTTCAGAGAGACTCCACACTACTGCATGGTCAGAGATTTATGGACAGAAAAAGGAAAGTGATGTCTGTAAAATGGAAGTGAGGTACAGAAACTGCTGGATTGACTACAGCTGTGTGTTTGCCTTATTCCAACACAGTTTGAACAGATGGCTGCCTTTGATTAGCCGAAACTTGTTGATTGGTAGGAGTGGGTTACAGATCACTATGTATGGAGAAATCTTTAGGCCAGCAGATTTAGGCTAAACAATTTAACACTGGAAAATTACAAATGTTGCTGTCTCTTATACTCGGTCAAAGTAAGATCCTTTTGCCGTAAAAGATCCCATAGTAAAAGATCAGCAGGTGGCCAGTGATATATAAAGAATATATCTGGTCTAGTGAAGGAGAGTTCCTGGCACAGATATTCCAAAATCCTTGGAATTTTTTGAGTGGTAAGAATATCTTTGTTGTGCTAATAAGGTGAGTGTTGTGGTAGTGGTGGTGGCCTAGATAGCTTCCAATGGGAGCTGGTTGCCAGAAAAACCGACCAGTGATTGGAATTTCAGTCCAGCAGAGGAGGGGGGCTGGAGATTGAGTCCACTTGCATGGGCAATGTTTTAATCAATTATGCCTATGTAATAAAACTCTGATAAAAAAATTACTCAGAAAAGCAAGACTGGGGTTGCTTCCTTGTTGGTGAACACACTGATGTGCTGGGAAGATGATGTGCCTGGACTCTGTGAGGAGAAGGCATGGAAGCTCTGTGTCTCCCCCACTTTTTGCCCCTAGACCCCCTCTTTTACCCAGACCTTGCCCTATGCCTCTGTTCCATGTGGCTGTTCCTGAGTTGTATCCTTTCAATAAAACTGTAATTGTAAGCAAAGAGTTTCAGTGAGTTCTGTGAATCATTCTTGCAAATTATCAAACCTGAAGGGGGTGGTCTTGGGAACTCCCAAATGCGTAGCCAAGTCAGACACAAGCGTGGGCAGCCTGGGGACTCCACCTGCAGCTAGAGTCTGAGGTATGGGCCATCTTGTTGGGGACCTTGTCCTTTAACTTGTGGGATTTGATGCTAACTTGAGGTAGTTAATGTCAGAATTGAATTGTCGGACACCAGAGAATTGTTGTTAGAACACAGACATATTTCTTTTCTTTCTTTTTTAAAAGATTTTTTATTGTGGTAAAATACACATTACATAAAATGTACCCTTTTAACCCTTTTTTTCTTTTTAAACTTCTCATTGAAATATAACAATATAGAACACATATAAACAGTACAACTTATAAGTAAACTGCTTAATCAGATTTCATAAACTGAACACACCCTTGTACCCGGCATCTGGGTCAAGAACAGAATATGCCAACGTTCCAGAAAAGAAAAGAAGCAAGTTGAAAAGAAAACATTTCTATAAAAGAAATCTAGATATAGTAATTAAAATGGGGAATAAGAGATGTAATCCCTTTGCCATATATATTAAAAAATGGGTTCATGGAAGACTTTCTAAGGGTATTTGTGTTATTGTTAAGAAACTTTTGTGGTAATAATAATTTGGGGACATAATAAATTAAGCCTAGTCAAACAGGTTCATCACCTAAGGAGATTTTCACAAAGTCAGACTCCAGGGCCTATTGCCTGAATATTCTCAAGTCAAGGACAGGAATGAGGAAAATACTTCTTGTCCATTCTAGACAAATTTTTAAAATTATAATAAAATATACATAGCAAAATTTACCATTTTAACCATTTTTAAGGGTACAATTGAGTGGCATTAACGTTCACAATGTTGAGCAACCCTCACCACTATCCATTTCCAGAATTTGTTCCTCCCCAAAGGAACCTATGTACCCATTAAACACCTCCCTCTTTCTTCCGCCCCTAGTCCCTGGTAACCACTATTTTCCTTTCTGTCTCTATGAACTTGCCTATTCTAGGTACTTCATATAAGTGGGATCATACAATATTTGACCTTTTGTATCTGGTTTATTTCACTTAGCATAATGTTTTCAAGGTTCACCTATGTTGTAGTATGTATCAGAATTTCATTCTTTTTCAAGGCTGAATAATATTCCATTGTATGTATATATCTCAATAGTTTATCTATTCATCTATTGATGGACAATTGAGTTGTTTCCACCTTTTGCTATTCAAATAACGCTGCCATGAACTTTGGGGTACAGGTATCTGCATTGTTATACATTTTCACAGATCCATCCTCATGTATTTTTGTTGTATAAATAAGCTTTTGGAAGCACTTTACAATTTAGAAGTCAAATAGAAATTAATGATAATATAACATACACTTTAAAGAGTCCAATGTTTTATTATCCGTTTTAATATTGGTTCATGCTAAAGATTCAGGGATGAAGTAACAGAAAAAAAACTGGAATGTAATCAATGCTATACAAGCATATCATAAGTATATAGTAATATTTTGCTAATTATAGGGCTAGGAAATATGAAAGATGGAATTACATCAATTATGTTGTTTCATCTTTTTGAATGTACTTTTAGTATTAAATACACAGCAAATGCTTATACTTCAAGATGATGCCTTTTTCTTTGGCAATCAAAACATGTTATCCTTGGTTAATCAGAATTCATTTCAAAAGATGAAACTTCTTACAGGTAAGCACAGCATTTAGTGCTGTAGACTCACACTCTTATTGGACTGGCTGCTTGATGATCGCTCTTGTTCTTTAGTAATTTCCATCTCAATTTTGGCTTTGATTTTCTCCCAATCTATTTGAAGCTGCAATTAAAAAAAAAAGAAATATACTTATATAGCATAAGATATTTTTGTTTAATCCAAAGTAATCAGGAGTAAAAATAGAATGTATGGCTTCTAAAACATTAGGGGAAAACGAGGCATCAAAGAAAAGTTAATAGGAAGAAATAATGCTCAAAAAACATGAAATAGCTTTAAGAATAAGACCCAACAGAAAAATTATATAATAAAAGCAAAGACTCTCATTGTGATTCAGAAGACTGAAATCTAGTTGTAGCTATTTATAAAAGGAGCATCTAAACAGGTGCTCAGGGACAAACAAAGTAGGGGAGAAGATGGACTGCTCTCCTTCAAATAAGAGGAAAAATGGACAGGTTCTGGTCACTGAGCCATTTTTCAAATAGGCCAGTCCTTCACATCTTACGTATTGAAGTTTCCATTAAAAGCCCGGCTATGAGGAAAGATAAGGGATCATTAGCTTCCCCTAAGCATATTCTGCAAAGGGGGCTCCTTTGCGACAGTTCTTAAAGTGACATAAAGACATAGTGGTCATTGACAATGACCAAAGAATATTAGAGGAAGCAGAAGGAAAGAAAGATTGGGAAACACATAAAAAGAATAATTAAAAAGTGATAACATTTTTGTCTGTTTGCTTCCCTTCTAACCATGAAGCAGTCTCCCCTCCCCTAGTTCAGCCCTATCCCTCTCCTAAGTTCATTGGACTTGATATTAGGAATGGACACTGCCCAAGATCCATGAACAACTTTTCTTTTTTTTCTTTTTTGAGACAGAGTCTCAACTCTGTTGCCCGGGCTAGAGTGCTGTGGCATCACCGTAGCTCACAGCAACTTCAAACTCCTGGGCTCAAGTGATCTTCCTGCCTCAGCCTCCCAAGTAGCTGGGGCTACAGGTATGTGCTACCATGCCCAACTGATTTTTTCCATTTTTAGTAGAGATGGGGGTCTCGCTCTTGCTCAGGCTGATCCTGGACTCCTGACCTCAAGCAATCCTCCCGCCTCGGCCTCCCAGAGTGCTAGGATTACAGGCGTGAGCCGCCGCACCCGACCTTATGAAGAACTTCTTTAGGAAAATACATTCTACCATTTAACAAAGTTTGGAAATCACTAATTTAGGAATGTGTATACTCTCTGAGGTAAGACATGGGAAAAACTGGGTCCTAGATTAAACTAACTCTGACGTACAATGAAATAAACCCAAACCCCAGAGACTGAGCCAAAAGTGAATAGGTTTTTACCTCCACGTAAGGGATGTGAGTGCAATAAGTAGTCTTAACCCAGACTGAGGTAATACTTGCTGCTTGAACAGATCCATCTTAAGTCACTGGGAGATTAATTTAACCTTAACAGGACACTTCATGTTTCCTTTACTTTGTGCTGGAAGTTGATGAAATTAAGTATTTGGTTCTTTTTTATTTCAATATCCTATATCTGAATTTCTTTGAAGTAATTTGTAAATATTTTGGGTCACATTTGTTTAAAATAATAATTCTGGATGTGAGGGTGATCTGGCTGTGACATCTGTCATCCCATTGATCACCAGGGTTTATTCACTTGATCTGGCTGGCTAGGTGGGTGTCCCCTTCCTCCCTCACTGCTCTGTGTGTGTCCCTCCTGAAGCTGTGCAGTCATAGAGGACGACCTTCCCCAATGGAGGAGGACCACTCTTTGGTCAAGGGTATATTAGTAGCTGTGCTCCCCTGCTAGAACCTCCAAACAGGCTCTTGAAATAATAATTCCACATATTTATCTACAATACATAAAATAGATTAATTAGTAAAATTCCTCCTACTCATAGAAGACAAATATCTGTGCTAAGAGACAAGTGATAGCTTGTTGAAAAGCAGAGCAAATGTTAGATTATTTGAAAGTCTCATTTTTCAATTAGGCCAAAACTTGATATTTTTTAAATGGCAAAACACTCATTTCTATGTCTACCAAAATATTTACAAAGACAACACAACTTGATGAATGCCTTGGCCTTCCTCCAGCCTTAAACTGGCTTTCATATGTTTCTCAAATCAATCTCAATAAAACCATATATTAATGGTACACCGAACACCTGTTGCTCTGTTACACTCGAAGTCCATCAAGTAAATTGATGATATTTATAGCAGTTACTTGTTATAATACAAATGAGGGTGTCAGTTTATAGCTATCCTACTGAAAATAAAAATTTCATTTTTACTTTGGCCTTTACCCAGTTTTAGAACAGCGTTCTACAGATAATTTAGTTCTTGGATTAGAATATTTATAATAGTAGGCTTTAGATAAGGATGTTCTCTGACAGCTGTCAAGTGACTTCTATACTAAAACCAATCCTTTTCTAGTATAGGGAGTCCCGATATTATTTTGTACTTCTTATTCTAGTCCCAAGTCAATTCTTAATCAAATAGAAGCAATTTCAAAATCATAACAAATGGCTCTCCATCCTCTACCTCATCTCTCTCTCAGCTGAAAATCAGCTTCCCACTTTATAGAGAATATCGTGGCCATCAGGCATGAACTTACCTGTATCTGTACCCACCCTTATCTCTTTTCCTTCTATCTCAGGCCAATCTCCTCACATGTCCCTGATCCCATCTTCTTCAACACGTCTAGAGCATCTGCCTTCAATTATTATTCACATATTCAATTTCCTTCTTTTCACTAGATCCTTCTCATCATCTTTGCTTCTTTACTCTGTCTCCCTACAAGCTACCACTCATCCTCTCCCCAGACCACTGTAATATGACCATGTTCTTGCCACACTTTAGGAACGTTCCATTAAAGCCACCGTCATCTGTTTTCAGTCCTTCTCCTATACACTTTCTCTGCATGATTCAATTATTCATTCACGAAATATTTAGTGCTTAGTATATGCCAAGGATTGTCCTAGGGATGAGGATTCAGCAGTGAACAAAAGGATAATAATCACTGTCTTCATAGATAATAAACTCTCACAGATAATAATGGAAGAGACAGATAATAAAATAAAAACATATATATAGGATATCAGAAGTGGTAAGTGTTTTGAATATAGGGAGAGGAGATAGTGAGCACCAGGGGTGGAACAGGAAGTTTGAGTGTCATCAATTTACTTGATAGACTTTTGGATGTATTATGAATAGAGTGATCAGAGAAGTTGATGTGTCTGAAAGATTGACATTAAGACCTGAAGGAGATGAGTGAGTGAACTCGTGTGTATCTGGGGAAGGGCATGGTGACGTGGGACAGAACAAGGCCTGAGATAGGAGCATTCTCTAGACCTTGTTGAGCACTGCTCTTTGAAAAATCTCTCATACTAGACTGTATATTACAACTGTCTTCTGATTTCTGTTCTCCTTTCTAAATACTTCTTTCTTTCTCTCTCTCTCTTTTTTCCCCCTATATGCTTCCCCTAGACAATGTCAGAGAGGAAATATAATTTCTCCTCAACCCTCATAAGTTCGTAGTTGGGACTTGTAAAATGTTTTGTTAGACATGGAAATGAGTGTTTTGTCATTTAGAAAATACCAAGTTTCGGCCAGGCACAGTGGTTCACGCCTATAATCCTAGCACTCTGGGAGACCAAGGCAGGAGGATCACTTGAGCTCAGGAGTTCCAGACCAGCCTGAGCAAGAGCGAGACCCTGTCTCTACTAAAAACAGAAAAAATTAGCCGAGTGTGGTGGTGCGCATCTGTAATTCCAGCTACCTGGGAGGCTGAGGTAGGAAGGTCACTTCAGCCCAGGAGTTTGAGGTTGTTGTGAGCTAGATTGACACCATGGCACTCTAGCCTAGGCAAGAGAGTGAGACTGCGTCTCAAAAATAAAAAAATAAAAAAAATCCAGTTTTGGCCTGATTGAAAAATGAGTCTTTCAAATAATCTAACATTTGTGCTGCTTTTTATAGATCTCTGCGACAAGAGACAGATTAAAAAGAGAAAAATAAGCAAATTTATTAATGCCTGTACTGTGCATCATGCAGGACAAACATTAATGAAAGGAAATTCAAAGCAGTGTCTTGGAACTCTTGGCTTATATAGCATCTTCAACAAAGAACAATAAATATCAGAAAAGTGACAAGACAATGGAAGGCAGTTTTAGGCTTGCAGAGGTAGGCAACTGTGGGGGGTAAATATATGGGCAGAACCTAATGGAGTAAGGTTTGTTTGTGATTCCTCTGGTGTCATCTCGGAGCTGACAAAAGTTGTCTCGAGTAAAGGAGAATTCATATCCTGTTTTTAGGTGGAAAAGGAGGAGGATAGAGAGAGCTCTTCTTCCATTTTCTTCTTCTTAATTGCCTTTAGCTCAAAAATATTTATGTCAAAGAGGCATATTTTGCGGTATCACATTCTGATTTCCTTCAATATTAACTGTTAATATTCACGAGGGTTCCAACCATAGCTTTCTCATGCTTTCCCTAGGAGATCTCCTCAACTCATATAGCTTCAGCTATATACCTCTACAGTCATGACAATAAATTTAGTTATCTAGCCCTGATTTCTTCTTTGCCAATATCCTTTGGTATTCACATTTATATTTCTAATTGCCTACTAGATATCTCCACCTGGACACCTCACAGACTCTTGAAACTCAAAAAACATTGTATATATTCACGTATTCAAACTCAAAGGTCCAAAACTTATATATTCTCATGTATTCTGTATCTAGATTAATAGCATTCCCCCATCCACTAGTTGCCCACACTAGAAATGTTGAAGCCATTCTCAAATTCCTTGCCTTGCCTCAGCACCTCTCCTCCCACCCCCAGCCACAACTGTTCTCTTAATTTTACCACTGAACTTTTTCTTACATTAATCTTCCCCTTTCCCTCTCCTAGTAGGGTTATTATAATAACTTCCTAACTGGCATCCTAGTCACCACCCTCACCTCTAATCTAACTTTCACATTTGAAGTTACCTTTCAAGTCAGTCTCTTGATTACAAACCTCCAAGTCTTCTCATTGCCTTCACTATGGAGTCCATTCTCCCAACATGTTATTAAGACTCTTCAGTGTCTTGTCCCAACCAGTATTCTAACCACTCAGGACCCAGAGTGTTCACTCAGGATTCCTCCCCATTCTTTCAGGATCCCATAGATTTGCTCTTATTATTTAATATCATATCTTTTTACTGACAGACAAACTTGTAAGATAGTTTTGTGGAAAATTTTAAGTTTCCATTTCTTTTTAAGAATCAGGATTTTAAGAGGGAAAAGTGACCCTATTACTTCCCTTCAATGGCTTCCTATTATTTAATTTGCCCTATTAAATCCTCGAGTCAATCTCTCTGTTGCTTTCACTCTTTCACTTCAGAGCCTTCCCTCACCTGGAACAAGTCCATCCCCACTGCCACGCACCCACCCCAACCCCACCCTCAGTCAGCTCCTACTGTTCAACCTTTAGAGCTCAGCTCAAGTATCATTTGATTTGCTTAGAAAAGGCTCTGCTGGGGCCAGGAGTGGTGGCAGGGTGCAGTGGCTCATGCCTGTAATCCTAGCACTCTGGGAGGCCAAGGTGGGAGGATCACTTGAGCTCAGGAATTTGAGACCAGCCTGAGTAAGAGCGAGAGCACCATCTCTACTAAAAATAGAAAAATAAGCGTGACTCTGTCTCAAAAAAAAAAAAAAATCTATATATATATGTATAAGAAAAATCTGTGCTTATTCCCCTACCCTAGGACAGGTTCTTCATTCATAAAGTCTTATAGCATCACTTACACCTCCTTCAAGGCAAGTATCACAATCAAATTAACAATTAACTATATAATTAACTGTCACCTCCATTTGAATATAAACTTCAAGAGGCCAGGGCGAGTGTCTGTCACATTTACTATTATATCCCAAGCACCAAGGAGAGAATATTTTTCACAGAAGGCACTCAATAAATACTGAATGAATAAAAGGTAAATAAATACTCAGCAAATAAGTGATCACCTAACAATATTGTAAGGTCTTAAAATCTGCAAGGCAGCTTAGGTAGCATCGATAGCTAAGTTTAAAGTGGTTTGTTGGCTGGGCATGGTGGCTCATGCCTGTAATCCTAGCACTCTGGGAGGCCGAGGCAGGCGGATTGTTTGAGCTCAGGAGTTCGAGACCAGCTTGAGCAAGAGCAAGACCCCGTCTCTGCTAAAACAATAGAAAGAAATTATTTGGACAACTAAAAATACATAGAAAAAATTAGCTGGGCATGGTGGCACATGCCTGTAGTCCCAGATACTCGGGAGGCTGAGGCAGGAGGATCACTTGAGCCCAGGAGTTTGAGGTTGCCGTGAACTAGGATGATGCCACGGCACTCTAGCCTGGGCAACAGAGTGAGACTCTGTCTCAGAAAAAAAAAACAAAAAACATGGTTTGTCCAAAGTAAAGTGTTGACTCTTTAAGATCGTTTTCAAAATTCTATACTTTCTGAAATTCTGCTCATGAATGATTTTTTTCACTCTTTTTCCTAGAATAATGTTTTAAGCATTTCTTGGATCTTCTACTTCTTGCACAGAGTATATATTCAATAGATTGAATGCATTCTTTGAGTGGATTTTATTTTCCAGACTTAAAATTTATTTTATAAATATTTGCTAAACACCATTGTAGATCAAGTAAAATTACTCTAAATAATAGGGTTCTTGGAAAACAGTACTCCTTGTATGAATCCCAGATGCCATATTTTAAATTAGAAATGGCCAAAAAATGTTTCAGGGCTCATAAACATAAGTGTATACCAAATTCTCACTTGTTCCCTTATAATAGACTCCACTCACTTACAAACTTTTACATGGTATACATTGTTAGCCCACCAGAATTCACCAGATATCTAGAATAAATTTCTCAGTGTTATTTTTAAATGACCCTTTTCTATTCAACTCTTAGTTCTGAAATAAAACGTTTATGTAATCACAATTTTGGCAAAGACAGATAAGGAGAGATAATAGATTATGACTAGATTATAGACTTAAATGAAACCAAAAGATCAGCAAGCAGTACAGATATCCCCAAAAGCTATTTTCCTAGGGTTAAATTTTATTTCATTAGTAGGAAGTTTTTAAGTCAAAAAATAATTTTCATCTTAACACACTAACTGCCACACTAGAAAAACAATTTTTTCCCTGGGCCACGGTGTTTTCGAAAACAAAATGATCCTTTCTAATTTAATGAAAAATTTGTTATTTTTTTAGTGTTTTCTGTGAGTTATATACAATTGAGTTATATGTGAGTCATGACATACTTCTTGAATTTGTTTCAGAGAATTGACTCTTCATATGCTTCACAAGGCACTGGGCTCAAAACTAGCATGAGTTAAATACAACTCACACGGCAGTTAATGTGTTAAAATACTGCTTTATGATTTTTAGTTAACTCCAAATGACATTTATGAAGAAGAGAAGTAGGAAACTAGAACATAGTGCCATAGGGAGTCAAAGTAACCTACATAGTTTCAGGATGAAAAAAAAACCCAAAATATCTAAGAAAGCCATGTTGCTCTGGTTATCCCACTTTGGAAATTTCTGTTACTCTTGTGATTGAAGTATTACATTTTGATAACAGTTAAATACATATATAATGAAAAAGAAGATATGGATGTTAAGTTTTTGCTATCTAAAATAAAATTTCTTTTAGGGTAAGACTATATTTTCTATGTTCTCAAAAGTACCTCATGTGAAAATATAGAAAAAATATTGATGATGATGAGGAGAGGAAGCAGAGTAGCATTAATCTGGTTTAGAATTATGCAATAAAATAAATTTAAGGTGGGTGCTCAGTTTTAACATATGGCCATATTTTCAAAACTGACAAATAGATCAGACAATCTGGTGATTCTCTGGGCTGCTTAGCACTGTATTGGTGGTCTATGAATTAGGATATAGCCGCAGAGATCCCAAGGACCCTGAGTTTGTCCTAGCAGTAGAGCAAGCCCAAACTCTAGGGTTCACTTCAGTACTAAGCAGGTTCCAAATGAAAATAAAAACAGTTTGTGGAGCTTCTATAAAACACATCCCATTTCTACCATAAAATTCACAGTCGTAGCTATCCTGGATCCAGATGTTGAAGTTGCACTGCTAAACTCTAAGAATGACCCAAAAGGCCTCACTACCCTGAAAACTTTTCTGAAGTGCAGAAATGTAGACCAAGACACACAGTATTCTAAATATGATAAGTGGATTATGTTGGCTTTAGTAGAAATTGTAAGTACCTTCTCACTCTTCTCTCCTCTTCCCAAGGCTCCTCTAACCCACCCTGCCCTGAGGATGGATCAGAACATTACATTTTATTCTATTCCAAGGAGGAGTGCTCCCAAATAGTCTATAAGCTCCACGAAGACAGAGGCTGTATCTGATTCAGCACCTAGCATAGTGCCTAGCCCAGAGTGAGATCTCATAAACATTTTTTGAATAAATGAATGAATAAAAGGCTAAATAAAGTTGTTCACAGAGCTGGAAGCAAGGTCAGCCCTGTCTTGGAATCACATCTGTTAGGAATTAAGCCTCTTGGATCTACATGGCTAGTGATGTGAGCTCTATTTCTGCTATCTGAGCCTAGAAGGATCTGGGTTAAGTGGCCACAATCAGTTCTGCTCAAGGCAATGGAACAAACTCTCTTATTCTAGTTTTCCTTGTGGGCTGATATAAGATGCAATAACTTTCTTCTTTATATTTTTTCTTTTTAAAAATATTCATTCATTCATTCATTCATTCATTTATCTTCAGAGACAGGGTCTCACTGTGTTGCCCAGCCTGGCCTTGAACTCCTAGGCTCAAACAATCCTCCTGTTTCAGCCTCCCAAGTAGCTGGGACTACAGGTACATGCCCCAGAATGACTGTTTTCTAATTTGAGTGATAAAATCTGAGATTCTGGTAGATTCTCCCAAACGGGAGGCAAAGGTTCAGTCTCCTTTGATTCTAGGCAATAAAGACTTAGCTAGCATCAGCACCTCTATGAGGTACAACCTAGCTCCCCAGAATTCTACAAAGTGACCAAGTATGAATATTCTGGCCTGTGTCCTTTGTGCTTACATATTTCCCCTGCAGCAAGAGGAGCAGCTGGTGGAAGATAAAATTCAGGACTTAGAAGCTTTTATCCCAGTTATCTATATTATTTGTTTAAAAATATCAGCAAGTACCTAAACTTAACACAAATTGAATATTATGAAAACGTGGCTATAAGATTCCAGGAAAAAATTGTAAAGAAAAAAGTAATTCTTTTAAAGATTATGGTATGAGTCATTCAATTTTTGTGTTGTTGAGATGAATATGGTACATATTTATAAAGCACATACATTACTATAAAATATTGTTTAATACTTACACCTTCTGCATATTGCAAGTATCGTTTATTAGTTTCCTGTTTACCAAATGTCTCCAAAAACTTCTGACGGTAAGCAAGAACTGTATCAACATGTGTTTTGTATTTTACAGCCAATTCCAGTGCCCTGTAATGAGAAATAAAACAGATTATCAGCATTGCTTGTGTTAGACTCCATGGAGAGTGGAGTTAAGGGGCAGAGGGTAACTAGGTGTTCCCTCTGCTTATTTCATAATATGAAATGTCATTTTCTACCTTATCCATTTTGCAAATTCCTATTTATACTTAAAGGCCCAGATCAAACATGACTTCCTCTCCCTGACCAGCTTTCCTTGTAGAAATAAATGACCATTATCTTATCTATAGTCCATACCATTTATACATACTATTATTATAGCACTGCTTATAGTGTATTATTATTTATGAGTCTATGTCCTTCACTAGCCTATACATTTACTGAAGGGAGATCTGGGTTTCATGACTTTTTGGTGAATACTACGGAGTGCAGGTGTGGCAAATGTTCACTGAAAATTTTTTTGAAATCATCATATAATTCAAGTGAATGAACTTCCCCACAATGTAAGCAGTTCAATTACCTTGACCATTTTTATAAGTCTATAATGAGTTTATAGAATTAAAAACTGATATCCTTATGTTATCACTATAGCAAATTAATAATTGTATGAAAATAACAAATTGAAGCTAAGAAGTCTAACAAAATGCCTTTTGCCATTTAAGTCTCCGAAGAAGCTAATAGCCATTTGAACTCTGTAATTCAATCAATATTTATTTATCTATGCAACTCAGTTATTTTTAAAGTAATATTTTATTTAAATAGCAGATAAGAACTAAATGAATAGCTGAAAACAGTGGTAAAACACCAAAGACACAAATCTACACACTGATAACAATTTGCAGGAAAATAAAAAGATTAATCCTCAGTTCCAGGCATACTTTCACAAGAAGGTTTTGGACAGCACCTTAGCCACTGCAATCCTGTGCATAACTCATATTACTTGAGTCAGGAACAACCCAGTGGACTATACCTTTTCTACACTGTTCACCATCATTTTGTTTTAAAATATGGATAACAGTCATCATAACAGTAAAAAATATATTATTTCTCAAGTTCTCTTGCTTTCTAATATGACATGTGACTTATGAATATTTCAATCATCATTTATCACATCCAACTATTATAAATCTGTTGCTTTAGACAAGACTGACTAGTGATTAGATTTTTTGCAACTTGAGACTCTTCAGTAGGAAAATCCAGTTCATTCTTAGCATGCTTTGGTTTGTCTTACTATTGATCAAACTAAGTAGTCACTTTAAAAACTATTTTAGATATGCTGTGTGTATTCATAGACAGTTGAAACAGACATTAAGGATTTAATATGAAAAATGTAAATATAAGTTATGTATACTACAGATGGTAATGTCAAAATTAAGCAAAATGATTTCTTATAAATATATATTGACATATGCTATATTGTAAAATCCAAGGGTCAGTATTTGCTACCCATCACAGACTTTCACAAAGTTCCCTTATTTCTCTGTGACTTTAAGTCTTTCAGAGAGACAGAAGATAGGCAGAAGGGAATATGAAGGTTCTAGAATATAGAGGAACAAAAGTGGAAGATAAAAGAAGGGAAAAAGCAATTCACAGAAGCTCAAAAGAGAATAAATGGAAGTAAAGATGCCTCAATTCTTCTAACCTTCTTCCATATAATTTATCCCTAAGCCTCTGATTCCAGTGGTGTATGTGTGAGTGGATAGCACTTTTAGAAGCTCCATTTCCCATTCGTTCTTTATGATTGTACGTGATGGGGGAAGGAGATCTTAATTATGTAAAACTGAAAGTGTTCTAAATGGAGAGTACGTAAGCATCAATTCTGGGTTGAGGCTTTTCAAAAATTCCAAAAAAGATACTGTGGTATAGAACATCAATGCCTTTAATTATGTAGAAAGAATAGACTATCATGTCTAATCCTGCATTTAGATGCTAGATCCTAAGTATTATCTATCATTGTCATTATTATTATAATAAAATACGTATTAATTATCTGATTGAAAAGCAATGGCTAAAGGTAAACATTCAAATGATATGTGCTATTTTAGATGTTCTCTAAAAGCACACACTGGGTAAAAAATGTTTCCTTACCACATTTAGGAGGGAACTTACTCCAAATTATGTAAGGGTTTTGGGAACAGTATGTCTCTAGTTTTAAAATGGTTATTTGGCAACCAAACAAATGTGACATTAGATTCTAAGGCTGGAATAAATCCACATATTTTAAATAGAAGTTATATAAAAAGATGTTATAACTTCAAAATATGATCTTTGCATAACTTCAATGAAGCAAAATAACTTTGTGCAATGGAAGATTAGAAATTATTTTTATTAATACTTC